GCCCTTCAGTGAGGCAGAAGCAATCGTGGGCTGGGAGGAGAACCAAGCAGCCAACCCATGCCCTCCTGTGAGCCGCCAGCGTGGGCTGGAGACAAAAAGAATGCCACCCCCAAGCCCTAAGCAGTCAGGTGAAGGATGAGATGACAGGAACTGAAGTAAAAAAACAAACAACTTAATGTTTGTGTTGTTTGACTGACTGTACAGGCCTGAAGTCTACATTTATTTAGAGGATAACAATATGCAATATAGCAACTAACAAGGATTTCCTTCTGATTTATTTCTGAAATCCAATATTGTTCTCACTGTTTGGTCTTGTTCTGTTTTATTGCTTTTAAAATAAAAAAAAATTTTTAAAGAATCAAAGCAGAGATTTTCCAAGAACAGGTGGACACCTAACATGGACTGGTCTCAGAGCCAATATTTTAAAACCCATGGCTGACAATTGAGATTTCTGGAGCCCAGGCACTAACATCAGTCAGGCTGACATATAGTTTCATTGACTTGACCACCTCAACCCACCCCAAATTTGGAGACATCTGATGCAGCATGGTCCTCTCCAGCCTGATCTGATGCTGCCTCAGAAGCTAGAATCTCACATGGCCATCTCTGGGTCTATAGTCTCAATTTCTTGAAAAGGAGAAGAAAAAGATTTGTTTTTAATAGGTATCAATAGAAGTAGGCTTTTTAGGAGAAAAATACGTATGATTTGAGAGAGAGAGGAATTTTGTAAAGAAGTCTTAAAAAGTATAAGGGCTGGGGTTTAGCTCAGCGCTTGCCTAGCAAGTGCAAGGTTGTGAGTTCAATCCCCAGTACCAAAAAAAAAAAAAAAAGAAAGTATTATAACTGAAGATTGATGTGCCCAGTAAGAGATAAAATACATGAACGTTTCTTCATTGAAGTTAATCCCTTAGCAATGCATTTTAAGAAACTCATCAGTGACTGAATTCACAGTAGCACAGGATGTGTTAGTCGGATTTTAGCATTTAATTCAATGATCCACTTAAAGATTACATTTAAAGAGTAGAGATATAAATTTCATTTGACTGATCTCATTTAGCAATTTATATAAGAAGCTTCAGAACACTTTTTTCCATTTCTTCTGCTTGAGCCAAGTAGATTTGGCAACCCTGCCACCCTCACACCCAACATGCACATAAACACAGAGGGAAATCATCACTGGGAGGAAAATTAAGGTTTGGGTCATATATCAGCTCTGCTTAGCTGCATCCAAACACGTTACTCACATTGCCGAAAAGGCCCCATGATTGCTTATTCACTGCAGATCAATTGCAGAAAGGGCTGTAACTATATTAGAAGCATAATTTTAGGAATCCTATAAACATTCGTGATTTAAACCCCCTGACTGAATGTATAATAATTAAACTATGTGTGAAATTAAAGCCCACCCTAAGGAATATTTATGTACCCATTGTTTTAAATCCTGTATGAGGCTTTTCCAAGAAATTCAAAAGCAGGAGCATAAAACAATGTAACCCTCTGGTTCTACAAGCCTCTCCTAAGGACTATGGCCCCAGTATTTGGCATCCGTCAAGGACAGTCAGCCCTCCGTGTCACCTGCATCCATGAATCAAATCAACTGTGGACTAAAAACACACCTTTTAAAGTGTCTGAACATGTTCTGGCTTGTTTTTTGACATCATTCCCTAATCGATTCAGTGTAACTCCTCTCGAACTGCCTTGGTCTTGCTTTAGTTATTGTAAGTTCTCTGAAGATGATTTCAAACAGCAGCGCCCAACTTTTCTGACATCAGGAATCTGCTCCATGAGAGGCATTTTTCTATGAACAGGGAAGCTTTCAGCACGATTTAAGCCTACATCCTTGGTATGTACCTTCACAGCAGGGTTCGAGCTCCTATGAGAATCAAAGGCCCCTGATCCTGTGGGAGGCGGAGCTCAAACAGCACTGCACGTGCTTCAAATGCAGACAAAACCTCAATCTCCAACTCACTCTCCAGTTGTGGGGTCCAGTCCCTAACAGGCTGCAGGCCGGTATGGTTCCACTGTCTGAGGTTGGGGACTCTTGGTGGATTAGGTGTGAATTCTGTGCCATTTTACATGAGGGATGTGAGCACCCACAGGTTTGTGGAAACAATGCCCTGAAGATACTGAGGGGCAACTATATATAAAACACCACATGTGATCAGGAGACAGGGGGAGGGAAGATCTCATTTGTCCAGTACTATCCTATTTATCTCAGTGGAATGGGTTTCTATATGTAGCTGCTTAGAACTTACGGATACCAAGCAATTGTTTTCTCCTTGATTCACACAATAGCTGGTGAGCTATCTGCAAATTAACCCTCCTTTCTTCCCTCTCCAGACAAAAGTATTCCTTACCTCAGGCAGCTCCTTGTCCTCACGGTGTGAGGCCAGGAGACATGGCATTCCCAGCAAGTCGTCCAAATCAAGGCAGGGTCTGTCAGGTCACAGCCCTGTGACAGAAGCAGGTACCTCTCTTCTTGCTGTCTCTGGCTAGATTATCCAGCCATAGACTGACTGAAGGAATCCCAGAGGAAACTCTCTCTCTCTCTCTCTCTCTCTCTCTCTCTCTCTCTCTCTCTCTCTCTCTCTGTCTTTCTCTCTGATACCAAACTTATACTTAAAAGCCTAGATCTTATCTTTTATCATTCAAACGCAAAACTTTCCTTTATTAAAGAGCAGGAAAATCCACATCTCTTTATGAGAATGTATGAATTTCTGTAGAATTTAAATCCACTAAACAAGATTGCTTAACTGTTTTTGCCCAAGGCCAGTTTGGAGGGAGGCAGAGAAGGGAAGGGCGATGTGAAAACAAATGAAGACATTTTGTGTACACATACCAGCTCCACACAAGGAATACAAGCATTTTATGCTGCAAACATGTGCAAAACAATAAAGCTGAGAGCACTGGCTATGAAATGCCACATTTGCAGTTTTTGCCTAAAGCTGGGCTCACTCTGTCCTAAAGGAGAGAGCTTCCTTCACCTGACAGGAAAGGTACCAGCAGCACTCTGAACTGGTACAGGGCCATCTGTACTCCCTGTGGAAATAGTGGCCTTGCTGGGTGTAATGAAACCTGCCTGTACTCCTAGTTATTGGGAATACTGAGGCAGGAGGATTGCAAGTACAAGGGCAGCCCGGGCAATTTTGGGACACCCTGTTTCAAGAGAAAGAGAGAGAACGAGAGACAGAGTCTTGCATTGTAGTTCAAATTGGCATTGGACTCATTATATAGCCCAGGCTGGCTCTGAACTCTTAACGATCCTCCTGTCTCAGCCTCCAGAGAGCTAGGATTACAGGCATACACCACGATGCCAAGTTTGGACATATCTTTAAAGTTACAAAAATGTAGCTAATCTTTTCTGAGCTTAATGTAAAGAGATTTATAAATGCATATATTCATTTCATACTCAAGAGTTGCGTTACATACAGCATCATATTTTATCATCTTTACATGCAATGATAGATAGGCATAGTCATTTGGGGCTGGGGAATTCATGGATAAAGTATCATGGATAGTTTGGGAAGTGATTAGGGTCCAATGGTTGAGAAGTTTTTAATGTATTTCAACTCTAGTGGTTTGGAAATCACTTTATAAAATTAAAAATTTCAGCAAGATTTTAATAACACCCATTCAACATACGAAGATTTTTCAGGGTTAAAAATGTTTTTTAAAAGATATTTCTTAAGCACTGTTTGTTTGTTTGTTTCGGTTAAATAAACTCAATGCATTTACCCTCCTTGGCCCTCTAGGGTCTTTTCTATACTTAGGTATAGACTCTGCTAGACAGGAATCTGTCTATTTTAGTGGATTCTGACCGATAAGCAACAAGGACCATCTAATGGACAAGTACCCATGGAGCAGTGCTCCCTAGGATGAAGACAACCCCAGCTGAAGCTTCTGTGAGCTCCTGCACACCAGGTGTTACACTCAGAGCTAGAAATGGAACCAAATAAGTTGTTTTCTGTGAAGTACTAATCTTAATCTCATTATACAGATGAGTAAATTGAATCAGTTAAGGATGTCACAAAGCATGGAAGTGGCTAAGAATGAAAAGAAACAAATATGAAGATTTCTTCAATCCTCAGCTAATAAGATTCCACAGTGATACAGCTTCTCAAAATTAAATAATAATTAAGGAAAAAAAATCAGAGCCAAATCCTTCTCACTGCTTTTAAGACTTTCCAAAGATCATTTTAATCCTGAGAAAATAGGTTTTGGCAAAATGAAAAAAATACACACACACACACACACACACACACACTACTAAGGATTGTACCTAGGCCTTTCACACTAAACTACATCCTTGGTCACTTTATTTTAGTTTATTTTATCTTTGACACAAGACTTCCGTAAGTCATTAAATTGCTTAGACTGGGCTTGAACTTTCTATCCTCCTGCTTCAGAGTGCTGGAATTGCAGGCGGATGCCATCATACCTGACAAGGAAATGTTCATATCTAAATTTCTCTAAGGAGTTATGATGAACACATGTAATATGTGGTCATGAACAATTAGAACTCCATCGTGAGTCCTGTTTCTAAGAGTAAAGAATAAAATAAAAATCAACCAGACCCTCATCGTTCAAAAGTCACTGCTCAACATTTTGGCACATTTTTTTCCAGTCTTTTGATTTTCCTACTTTTTAAAAACATGGTCTATAGGCTATCTTTGGGAGCAATTACATTTGGACTATTTATTCAACAAGTTTATTCCCTCCTGCCCAAGGGAAATAATTCCTGCTGTCTCCTCACCTCCTGCAATGTATTTATGACCTTTCATGCTAGATCAAGTTGTGGACAGAAAAGTCAAACAGTTTCAGCCACTCCACCGCTTCCACGTGTGTTTGGAGGACACATTCTCTCATCTCAGTTAAAGATTACTGAAGGCATCCAGAATTAGTGTGCACCCCTGTTTCAAAGCACAACTTGACTGTTCTCAGTTTTTCATTCTTACAAGGTACCTGTGATGAAAGGATCAAGTTTAAGACATTCTTAAATCTCTGGTCTACATTTCTGTTAACAGGAAAAGCCTTCACGGTGCTAGGTATTTGTCGAATGGTCAACAGTGTCTTGTATTCCGACCTCTGTTTTTCAGAGAGTTAACCAGGTCAATGTTTAACTGGATTCTTTGGGCCTGGAATGGCAAAGTAGGAGTCTCCAGGGAAACCAGTCTCCCAGGAAGTGACCAGAGAGTTAGTGTGTGGTGAAAGAGTCAGAAACATGTCATGAAGAAGAGGACATCTTTGCAAAGCTAGGGTAACTTCTGGAATTCCTTAATTGAAACGAGCTACATGAAATGCCCTGGAACTACCTTTGTGGTAGTTTCCCTTTGGACTTCCTTAGCTGGAAATGGGTCTGAGCTACTCCAAGACTCACCATAAGGTGACCAAAGTGGCACCTTTGCAAAGCGAAGAAGCAGAGACTCCCTCAACTGGCCCTCTGAACTTTGTAGTTCATCATAACCTGGAAGAAGAGAATCTGCATTTGTTCCCAAGACCGCCAAGCCAGAAGAGAGCTTTGGAAGGGCAGCTGCCTCCTCTTCGGGAAAACTGGTATGGAGGTAAGTGTAAAACCCAGCATGACATTGGCGTACCTGGACCAAGGAGAGCCATTGCTAGATGTACTTGTCTCCATAAGCCCAGAAAATCTTTAATTTATTGAGATGTAAGAGAACTGCTTTCACTGGGAATTGAATGTCTGCCAGTTGAAAATGTTTTGGCATATTAGACTGAGTGTGTAAACTGTTTTTACCAATCCAAATGAGAAGGAAAAATCACTTGGTCTCAGTTTAGCCTACTGTATTTTCAATGCTTATACTTAGTTTTACCAAACAACTAAAATTATATAAATATTGATGTATTAAATGATAGTAATCATCTTTCTGTTAGATTCTTTATTTGAACATCATCTTCAGTGCAGTTCAATGCATCAGGTTTTGTGGTTTTGAAAGCAGCCCTTTAAGATGATTTTTAGAACCGCCTCAAACAGCTGATTGTCGACAGCACAAAGTGAGTGAGTCACCTCTTCCTAACCCTGTATTCATCATCTGCAGGGCTAAGAATTTTTTCCCATTCTGACTGGTAGCTCTGAGACCATTGTGGTTATAAGCCATCCTGGGATATTTTGTAAGATATATGAAATGTTTTATGATGACCACAATGACAATTAAACAGACATTTCAGCTAGGGAAGAGAAATGTACATGTATAATCCATATACATAATTTTGTATTCCTGTTTTCACATTCTGTAACAATAAACAAGGAAGTTCTTCTTACATCTTCTTGGTTGCAATGTCCTGTGCACTCTTTTGGTGATAAATCAGAATGATTTTCTTCTTTGTAAATTTTATCTTAAGGAAAATAAAAACCTAACAAAATAAAGCAGAATAAAGCCAATCAGAACAGACCAGTGAAAATGATACAAGACTTCAAAACAAGATAATAGGAAATCAAAAATAGCTACCATAATGTATCTAATAGCTGCCCATGCCATCAATATAATAAAATCAAACAAAGCAAGATAGAATAAAACCAAACTTAATAAAACAATACAGGAATTCAAAACAAGATAATAGGAAATTAACAATGGTTACCACCTTCCTTTTTCAGCTGTTTCCTCCTCCCATCACTTTTACAATATTTATTGTACAATTTGGATCCCACTAACTCCTTCAGCTTTTTATGCTTGGGAGATAATATGATATTCACCCAATATGTCAGAACCTTTCACCCATGAGCACAACCTCAAGTTGCATCCATTTAGCCTTGAGATTATCTTTCTTTATAGCTGAGTAGCTTTCCACTGTATAAAAATGCCACATTGTTCTTATCCAAGCTACACCTGTTTTTTTCTGGTTTCCTGTCACATGAAATATTATTTTCTCTCCTTTGACTTTCAGTCTATGAATTTCCTTTTGAGTTAAATGTGGTTCTTTTACGCAGCATCTTGATGGATCTTGTTTCTTGATTCACCCTGTGTTTCTTTTTACTGATGAATTGAGGCCGTCTGCATTAATGATTACAACTGGCATGTACTGGCTCATCCTTGCCATGCTATTGGCTCCCCACTTTTCTCTTCCATTCAGTTGCCTGCCCTGTTTGGTAATCCCCCTCTGCTGTTCTTGGAACCATGGTCATCTTTATCTCTCTTTAGAATATCTTTCCGTGCTCTTTGTAGGTCTGGTTTGGTGGTCATGAATTCCCTTCGTTGTTCTTTATCATGGAAGTATCTTATTTCTCCATCAATTTTGAAAGACAATTTTTCAGAGTATATCACTCTGGGTTGGAATTTGTTTTCTTTCAGAATCTAAAACACTTCACTCCAGTCTCTTCTTGACCTGATGGTTTGTGTTGAGAAGTCTGCCTTGATTCTGATGGGTTTTTCTTTATAGGTGATCTGTTTCTTTTCTGTCATAGCCTTTAATATTCTCTTCTTGTGTAAATTTCTGGAATCTTGACTATTATATGTCTGGGTATAGATTTGTTTTAGTTACGGCCAGTTGAAGTTCTGTATGCCTCATTTAAGTGTGTGTCAGATCCTTTCCTTATGTTCAGGAAATTTTCTGCTCTTATTTCTGTAAAGTCTTTTTATGTCATTTGTGTTGATTGTTGTGTTTTTCCTGACACTTATCAGTCTAAATTTTTTCCTTGTGTCACCTTGCAACTATTGAATTATTATTTCCTGGTTCCTTGTTATTTTTAAGAGATCTTTCCTTTCATGATTGCTAGTTGCAATCTTGTCTTCAAGGTCTGAAAGTTTATTTTCGCTCTCTTTCACAGTTTTGCCAGCTCTTGATGGACTTTTAATTTCTCGAGTATCTCTTTGAATCTCTTCCATGCACTGTAATTCTTCCCTGTATTTCCATCATTTTCCTATGCTCATCTTTTTTTATCTATGTCTTCTTTAGATATACTCAGCAATTCTCTCAGTATGCTTGTGATTTCTTCTTTTATCTGAGATATTCCTTCTGATCCGATTACCTTTATAGCCTCATGAAAGTTGTTTCTTTACTTCAGTTGCTATCTATTCAGATATTTCAAGTGTGTGACTTCTATTTTCTTCCAGCTCTATATCTCCCAGACTAGTTCTGTGTGGGCTGGGGGTCTGAAATTGCCTTTTCCTCCCTTGTTTTGACATTTTCCTGGGTTCCTCCCTACAAGTGGGTTGTGGGGTCCCAGGTGCTTCCTGTGTTGGTTGCTCTTCTTCAGAGTAGAAGAATGGGCCAGACACCTGGATTTCTCCAAACCCAGGTTCCTAGAGAGGCAATGGGGCATGGGGTGAGCTTCTTCAGACCCGTGTGGTTACACCAAGGCTCTCCCAGTGGCCATGGCTGCATGGCGGCAAGATTGATTTTTCTCTTTGGCCTTCATGGCAACACCATGACTCCCCTGATGGGGCCGGTTTACAGGGGCATTTGGCTGATTCTCCTGGCCTGCACTGGCTGCCTGAAGGAAGCAAGCATCCCAGTGATGGTAGACACACAGGGGCAGGTCTGGCTGTTTCTCCCTGCCCACACTGGTCACCTGAAGGAAGCAAGCATCCTGATGGCCTAGAATGATCTTCATGGCTACTTTCTATAGAACTGTCAACTCTACAGCCCATTTTTTAATATTCTCTCACAGCTTAAACACATGAGTGGGAATGGTCTTCTTAATTTCACTAGTGGAAATTCTCCCCTTTGTTTCACTGGATTCTTTTTTTATCCAAACTGTCTATCCAGAGTTTTGCAATTTTGGTGATTGGATGGTGAGAGCTGTTTTTAGTGCTTTTGAAGCCCATGTGGCACATTATTTTTGAAAAGCCAAAGTCAAAATTATAAGTAACAAGGGAATGCTTGGCATTCTGTGAAGGAATTAGACCACTGCCACCTTAGCCAGGTCAAAACTGATTTAACCCATAAGATTTGTGGTTCGTGTTAAGAGTCAAAACCAAGGGAGACAAAACTGCCACCCCCATGAGAGGACCAACATTTCCAGCCCTTGTTAAAATGCTGAGTGTTGTATAAACAATTTTTTTATGGACAATGAGATAATATAGTAGCCATTGTTCATTTTCTGTTATTTGGTTCTGAATGCCCTGTAATATGTTCATTCTCTTGAATGGCTTTATATTATCTTGTTATGTTTGGTATGTATATGAAGGTATGCTCAATTATTTCAAAGAAAGAGACATTATGGTAGCTATTGTTATATTGGGTTGTATTGTGGTGAAATTGTTCTGTTCTGATCTGCTTTGTTATGTCCTCTTTAGTCTTAATCTCTTTAAAGTAAAAATATTTAAAAATAAATTTAAAAAAATACTGAGTGCTAAGCAGATGAACACATGTAGACATGTAGACGTAACACCCTAGTGATCAAAGGTTACAAATGCCACATAAACCCCCTGAACCTGTAAGAGCGGGCTGCTCTGGTCTTTGTTGGCCAGTATGCCCCTCCAGTATTATTCTCAGATCCTGTCATCTGCAATGGAGCTTACCTACCTTTGTTTTTTCCTAACATTTGGAACGCTATTTTTAAGGGACTTGAATTCTAACCCAGCTATGTCAAATAACAAGTCACATGACCTTGTGCAATATGCTTCATCAGTTTTCTTCACCTAAAAGTAGAGATGAAAAGTGATGTCACATGCCTCTAATCCCAGCACTTGGGAGGCTGAGGCAAGAGCACTGCCACAACTTGAAGGCCAGCCTGGATTACATATTTAGTTCAAGGCCAGCCTGGTGTCTGTCTCAAAAGAAGAGGAAGAGGAAGAATAAGGAGGAGGAGAAGGAGGAGGAGGAGGATGAGGAGGAAGACTTCCTCCTCCTCCTCTCCTCCTTTGAAAAACTTTTGCCAATGTATTTATGCTTTAAATATTTTATTTTGTTATTTCCATCCTACTCATGGATGGCAACATGTGAAGGACAAGAGGACACTTTCAATCCCCCTAAAAGTTAACACAAAGCCTTTAAACTAGTTGTGTAATGTCTTAAAACATAAGCTCACAATTACACATGAATTTTCCCATTTAAAATTCGTAGTGGGAATGTAGCAGAGGGAGTATAGGAAACAATCCAGAAATTGAGGTGTGTCCAAATTGCAAAAAAATGAAAGCCTAGGGCTGGGACTTCATTCGTGCTCTTTGGTTACAGTAAAAGTTCCAAGAGCCCAGGATAACTGAATTAACATACAAAATTCACAGTGGATCTGTTGTACCTCCTTGTCCCCTATCAGAGACTAGCTTCCCTTATCGGGAAAAAATGCTAGTACCAGCTGTGATTTAAAAAAACTATGGCAGATGTTTAAATGAAAAATATTATTACAGTAAAAAAAATACATTGTCATTAATCTCCTCAAAATCTTTCCTCTCACTTCACACACACTCATCCCACCCTTGTTGGCACTTTCTGGAGTCGTCTTTTCTGAGGGTCTTTAGTTGTACTGTTGATGTCATAAATCCACTCAAAATATTTACCTTTTATGGTCATTTTGACTTTGGGGGAAAAGTCAGAAACCTCACGGCTGCAGATCTGGGGGATAGAGTGGGTGAGGACACACCATGGTGTTTTTATGAGGCTGCCT